AAGGAAGGAAGGAAGGGTGGATGGATGGATGGATGGATAGATAGATGGATGGATGGATGAATGGAGGGATGGATAGATGGAGAGAGGGATGGGTGGATGGGGGTCGAGTTCAAGTACGTGACCAGTGAAGCAGAGAGAGATAGTGTGAGTGTGAGTGTAATTACCTAAGTGTAGTTACAGGATGAGAGCTACGCTCGTGGTGTCCCGTCTTCCCAGCACTCTTTGTCATATAACGCTTTGAAACTACTGACGGTCTTGGCCTAAACCACCTTCTCACCTAACTTGTTCCAACCGTCTACCACTCTGTTTGCGAAGGTGAATTTTCTTATGTTTCTTCGGCATCTTTGTTTCGTTAGTTTAAATCTATGACCTCTTGTTCTTGAAGTTCCAGGTCCCAGGAAATCTTCCCTGTCGATTTTATCAATTCCTGTTACTATTTTGTACGTAGTGATCATATCACCTCTTTTTCTTCTGTCTTCTAGTTTTGGCATATTTAATGCCTCTAACCTCTCCTCGTAGCTCTTGCCCTTGAGTTCTGGGAGCCACTTAGTAGCATGTCTTTGCACCTTTTCCAGTTTGTTGATCTAGCTTTGTTTGTCTAGCTGTTTGTTGTTTGTTTGTCTAGCTTTGGCCTAACAAAAGTCATGAACAATTTCTTTAGTATATCGCCATCCATGTATTTAAATGCAATTCTGAAGTTAGAAAGCATAGCATAGGCTCCTCGCACAATATTCTTTATGTGGTCCTCAGGTGATAGTTTTCTATCTAGAACCACTCCTAGATCTCTTTCTTTATCAGAATTCTTTAAAGATTTCTCACATAATATATAGGTTGTGTGGGGTCTATGTTCTCCTATTCCACATTCCATAACATGACATTTATTAACATTAAATTCCATTCGCCAAGTGGTGCTCCATATACTTATTTTGTCCAGGTCTTCTTGAAGGGCATGACAATCATCTAAATTTCTTATCCTTCCTATTATCTTAGCATCAGCAAACATGTTCATATAATTCTGTATACCAACTGGTAGATCATTTATGTAGACAATAAACATCACTGGTGCAAGAACTGAACCCTGTGGTACTCCACTTGTGACATTTCTCCAGTCCAATACATTGCCTCTGATTACTGCCCTCATTTTTCTATCAGTCAGAAAATTTTTCATCCATGTTAGAAGCTTACCTGTCACCCCTCCAATATTTTCCAGTTTCCAGAACAACCTGTGTGTTTTAGTATGTGCTTTTGGCTCAACTAAATGTTCGTGCTTGGTTGGACTTTGTCCATGTTCAGTTCCCTGCTTTTGCACAGCTCCTGTGTTCGGTTCTGGTCCTGAGTTCTTTCATCTTCTCCTTGTTTGGGACTTACAGCTTCTGGGTTGCCCTGTATACAGGTGGATGTAGCTTCTGTTCCGCCTCTCTTGCACTGCAGGTTTCTTTTCGTTGGGCCGGGAGGTGCTAGGTTTCAGGCCCTGGCTCCGGCCTTTTTCTTTGTGTTCACTTTCGGGCGGTGTGTTTTTGTTTTCGTGCTGTTCACATCCTGGTTAGTTCTCCTCATGCCTTACTCAGTATAGCGTGCTTCATTCTGCCCTACTGGGGCTGCATTCGTCACTCCTGCGGGATGCGGTGTCACTGTTTTTCGCTTTGCGTTTTGACTTGCTTCCTCGTTGGCCTCGGCCTGGGTCCTGGCTCGTCGCAATCTTGTCCATGGTGTTTGTGGCCTCTGCGGTTCAGCGTTTTTCTGCTGGTGGCTTCTAATTATCATCTGTTGTTGCACTTGTTAGTCCTTCAAGGGTCCCGGAGGGTTCCTCCCAGACGGGGTATTTCTGCTCGCCTGGGTTGGTTCTTTCCCGGCTTGCCGGGTTAGGGTTCATGGTTTCTTGGCTTACCCTGTCAGTTGACATTTTCACGATTCCGTGGTGTCACTTCTCACGATCCCGCGGTGTCACTTCTCACGAGTCTCACGTTGGGACCACAGTGTCTCTGATCTCCTGGCGAGCTCACTAGCATTGGGAAGCTTTCTGTACGGCAGACGGTGCATCTGGTTCCTTGCTGGATTGGGTTTCCCAGCTCTGCTTGCTCAGTGTTCGCACCTGAGGTTTTCCCGCGGCTCCGCCTCTTCCCATGCTCGATCCGGTCCATGGCGGGGCTGGTTCGGTTCTTCCTCGAGTCTCTCACTATCTGTTGGTGTTTGGGTGGCTTCGTTGATGGTGTCCCACCAGTATGCTTCGTCTCGGCGGCGGTATGGTTTTTTTTTGGCGGTTCTTTCTATTTCTTTTTTTCCCTTCGCAGATATTCTGCATTTTGTTGGCGTGGTCTTGTCCTTCTCTTGTGAAGGTTCAGGACTGTCATCTTGCCATATACTGTCGTCTTGTCTCGTGTGGCGTTAGTGGAGCCGCTCTGGGTTGCTCCAGTTTTGGTGTTCCCTCTGCACCATTTCGCGAGCTGTCTCTCATGTGGTTCACCTCCAGCCTGCTCTTGCGCCGCTTGAGTCGTCCTGGTCCTTGGATTGGGTGCTCACTTCTCTTCTCCTTGGTTTGTTGTGGCCCTTTCGGTTCTGGGTTGTTTTCCGAAGCTCTTTTCTTGTTGGCGTTGCCCTCTGGGGGTCGGGTCAGGGAGCATCATGCTCTCCTCCGGCCCCAGGGTTTCTGCTCTTTTGGTCCTCGTGATAGGTTTGTTCGCTTGCAGCCGTCTCCTTCTTTTCCGGCGAGGACTGAAACGGCTGCTTTCCGGCAGGGGTTCTTGGGTTGTTTATGCTTGGTTGGTCAGGCCGGGGGTGCATCATGTGTTGTGTTCAGTTATGGTGCTTCACTGTTCTTTACATACCACAGCTGCCGTGACCGGGGTCACGCTTTGGGTTGCTCTTGCTTCCCTTCTTCCCTGTTCCAGGGTATGGTTTCTCTCAGGTCGCCCATGGGGTGGTTCAGTCCAGCCAGCCTGCAGTCTATCCCCTTGCCCACGACGTTCGTCGGTTGGCTACGCGTTCCTTCATTGAAGTTCCTGGGCCTCGTCAGGCCTGTGTGGCCTTGGGTTGGTGGTTGCAGCTTTTTGTCTCCGCTTCGCATTGGGGAGTGAGCAACAACCGCCTCCCGGGTAGGTCCCTCTTGTTTTAGTCTTTTGGTAAGTAGCTCCAGGGAGCCGACAGGGCGCCCCCAGAAAACTAGTGTTAAATGTAATGAAACTCCATTTTCTGGGTGAAACCCGGTGGCTCCCAGGCAACCCTCCCCCCCTCCAGTTGATGGTTTTTCATGTGTTTTGATATCCAGCCTCAGAACTGGGGGGTCTTGGGTAGTCAGCACGAGGGGTCTGGGGCTCCCCTTTCCCCCTCCCGGGGGAAAGCTGCGCAGATGGCGGTTCGACGACATGGTGACGTCATGCTCGTTAGCTCATTTTTGTTTGGGGAGTTCTGTCCACTAGTTCGACTCTCAGTAACAATTTCTTAACCATAATATGGGCTTGTTTTGGGATGCTTACCTTTCTGGGTGCCTGACCTGGTCGATGGCAGACATAGAATGCTTCCAACCACACGGGGGTTTCTATAGGCCATTGCTCCTCGTGCCTCTCTGAAGGGGCCAGGTTCTGGCTCATGGTTCCTGGTAGGCTCACAGAACTCCATACACATGACTGATACCAAATATCAGTCTGGATAGCTCCGGGGAGCCTCCGGGTCTCACCCAGAATATGGCATTTTATTACATTCAACGCTGTTTTTTGCCTACCACTTAAATGCATCATTTCTGGCATATAATGCATGATACTGCTCAAACATTTAAGACTAACAGAATGAAGGTCTTGCTTCCTTAGCTCCTACCACACTTGAAAGGTGACCATTTCAAAGGCTGAGTATTTAAGGGATCTTGCCGGCAAAAAAATTCAATTTTCCTAAACAATTCAATAATTTTATTTCAGATTCTCTGCTGACCCTAATCTGGAAAATGCCAATGTGAACGAACTAGTACACCCTAGCTTTAATATGACCTTTCACAATCACGGATATAGGGACAACTCCACCTTTGCCTCCCGAGAAAATAATACCTTCAACGCTGAAGCTCCCTCACAGCAGTGGAATGGTTCACACAATAACATCCCACCCTCCAGGTATGCTAACTGTAGGGATAGGCACTTTAATACATAAAGTAGTACTTTAGTGTGGCATATTGTATTGTGCACATTATGGTTTACTTTCACATTCCATTTTAGTAAACTAGAATACAGGTAAATAATGATACCCAAAAGACTAGTGCAGTTCCTCAGTGAGACTTGAAGCCTCCGTTGGCTGAGAATGAGGTAAGATGCTGGTGCCTGCATGAAAAACTTTTAGGCAATTTTGCAGTCATTTTCTGTACCTCATTTCAACTTTGCATGCGGAAGACTTGCCATTAGGTTAAAACGAAGGATAGATGACGGACCAATACCTGTAGCTGTATTAGTTGCCCGATTGTTATGATACAGGCTGTAAGATGAAAACACGAGTGTTGAATGTAATGAAATGCCATTTTCTGGGTGAGTCCTAAAGGCTCCCTGAAGCTATCCGAACTGATGTGTGCTATACAGTATTAGTTTGGGGGTCATCAGTCACAGGAGTTCTTATGCTACCGGGAAACACGTGCCAGAACCTGGTCCCCTCAGAGAGGCGCAAGGAGGAATGGCCTATGAGCACTTTAAATGTAAAGTATGTCATAATTGCCATCGACCGAGGAAGGACCCAGAAAGGTAAGCGAATCAAAAGAGCCCACTGTCTGGTTAACCTGTGCAATCTACATCCAAAAAGATCAAAATAACTCCTCTAGAAAGAAACCAAACAAGCAGTCTTTCCTGTGACTAGCACTTCCGCTCGTTAGCGCTACTCCCGGCAGCCCACCACTCCTTCTTCTTCTTCTTCGCAATACGTGCAGTTTGCATGAAGGTATATTGTCCTGATTACTGCACCAGCGATAATGTAGACAGTTGCATATACTACAATGCACAACAACACATCAACGGTCATGACGTGCCCGAGCTGGGAAGATAGTGGCGCCGTCAATATGGGCGAGGATAAAGGCAAAAGAAACAAAACGAAAGGTACGCAGGATGGGAAGAAAGAGAAAAACAGAAGGCGAACGTAAAGCGTCGCCGCAGTAAAGAAAGCGAGGGATGTGGGCAAGAGACAAAGGGCAGGGGGGGGGGGAGCAAAGGATGTGAAGGAGGCAAGTGCAAAGCAGACACAAGAAAGGAAGAGAGGTGCGAGCAGAGGAGGGTACAAAGAGTGAATGTGTAGAAGGGTAGAAAAAGTCAAGATGGGACAGGCGAGGTTAGGACAGGGCAAGGGACATAGACGTCATCCGGAGCCTCACGACTGGGACGCAAACTCATTGGACTCCGCAGAAGCGCCAACAGGACAACGGGAGGAAGACCTAGGAATGGCACAAGGATAAGTCATGGGAGAACGCGATGTAGGAGGCCCATCAGGCAAGGTGGCAGGGCGCTTAGAAATCGGGACGACGGAGGATTGCTTCCGCTTAGTACTGGGGTCAGAGATGTGCGGCAAGGCAGCCTGGGGAAAGACACAGGGAAGGTTCGCCAGAAAGTTCCGAAGAGTGTTATCCAGCATCGATTCAAACGCATTGGAGATAGCAGAGGCAGCTGCAGGAGGATGGACGTCAATTGGAGAAGAAGCGAAGGAGAGGAGCGACGGGTCAGCCTCAGGAATGGGAAGAATGGACTGCAGAAAGAATTGTGACGAAGCGGACCAATACCATCTCTAGTGCATCCACAACGTGAGCAACAATAGCATCAACAAGATCGGGACTCAGTTGAACGGTGGGCGGGAGAGAAGAAGCTTCAGGGGCGAGAGGAACGTCAATGACAAACAGGTCAGGCACTGGCAAAGGCGACGCTGGAGGGGGGGGGGGGAAGTGGCGGGTGACAAGGAACCGGGGCTGGATGAGACAAAGCATGACTGGAGGGCGGAATGACAATGGGAAGAGCCTTAGTGAGCGCCGCAATGTAGGAAGGACACTGCTTGAAAGTGATGGCATGATCACCACCACAGTTGGGGCACTAGAGCTTGTCGGACTCAGTCACGAGTGTAATGGGAACCAGAGCATTTGCCACAAATGGACGTCACCGGTGCAGCCATGGGAGGTATGATGAAAACCCTTACAACGAAAGCACTGAATGGGACGGGGAACGTACGCCTCCAATTTATGGAGGAAGCGATTAATCAAAACCCAATCAAGGGGGAGGTAGTCAAGAAAAGTAAGGAGGGCAGTGCTGGTATCACACAGGTCACCATCAATCCTACTCATAAATTTCTTGACACCAAAGATCGGAAGGTCAACATTCTGCAGTTGCGCCTTGATGTCATCCGCACTAACGTCAACAACGTGCCGGACCACATATCGTACCAAACGGTCACCCAGAGGCATATAACAATGGACCTTGTAACCACAAATATCAGTAATGTCTGAAAGCACCAAGTCCCCAGTGGAAGCGTGGTCCACTACAATCAAGTTCCTGCATTTATTCGGCCTAAAAACATGCATCTTGATCTTAAAAACTCGGGAACGGCTTGATAGAAAAGACTGCGTGGCCTATTATTTCCAAAAATGCTCCGATCAGTGGGTGTATCAGCATCAAAGGCAATGATGAACGTATGTAGGCCAGGAGAACTCGTCTGATCTTGAGGAAGTGGAGGGTGTGGAGACAGAGGTTGCAGGGGGGGGGTCACAGGGTACCACAGGATGCAGGCGACGTTTCACCTCTAATCTATTAACTTACTATGATGTTTACTGTCCAGAAAAACACCCCTCGGGATCCCCTTCCAAGACTGGAGAACGTTGTGACCAGAATGCGTGCCAAGGGACAGCGGGTCCTGAAAACCCTCAAAGGTATCGGAAATGTCCACAGGAGAAACGCTGCGTATACCACCATCGCCATGGTCGGCCAGCAATTCCCACCCACCACTCCAGTTCTTGAACGATGAAAACCTGCCAACCAGATGGAGGGAGGGAGGGTGTTAGGGAGCCTCTGGGGCTCGCCCAGAAAATGGCGTTTCATTACATTCAACGCTGGTTTCCTGTGGGAAGCCCTGTTGGCTTCCTGAAGCAAACTACCTGAAGATAAGTAAAAAAGAGGGACTTACCCGGGAGGCAACAGCAGCACCGCAGGTCTCGTGACGAAGAAGAAACAGACACCCATAAAGGCGCCTCTAAAGCCACACACAACCGGGAAGGAACTGGAACATTTACTAGATACCTAGTGGCCAGTACCCTCTTCGACCACCAAAACAAAAGGTCTTGGGTAGACCCCGAATGTCTACCCAAGACATTTTGCCAAAAACCTCTGCTAGAGCAGCATAATTCCGAACATCATAGGCATGAGGGTAGATCACAGGCTGGCTGGACTTGATGACACTGTGAACAACCTGAGACACACGAGCCCTAGAACAGGGAACCAGGAAAACCGGATCCACTCACAGAGCGTCCACCGTCACAGAACCAGTGGCCCGTAAGTAGCGACATAAAGCCACCACCGGACACAACACGAGATGCACCCTCGGCCTAACCAACCAAGCATCCACAAACAACAAACACCTCCACAAGCTTGCTGTCTCATTCTTCGCTAGAAAAGAAGGCTGCAAACGAAAAAAACTACTACCTGGACAAAACGAACAAAACCCCCAGAGTCGGAGGAGAGTATGAAGCTCCCCAACTCGACCCGCAGAGGCCAAGGTCACAAAAACAAGGCCATCCAAAAGCAATCCCTAATAGAAGGGGCGACAACAAAGCGAGGAGAAGCAGTGCAATGAGACAGATGCTTGACTCCTAAGATCTCCCAAAGAAGAATGGGTAAATTGGAGAACAAGCAGGGAACAAGTCTCGCATGACTCCGGGTCGAAGGTGTTGGCGACCCAACAAGCAGCATGGTGGAGGCAAAACAGATGATCGTCACCCTGAAACAAAGGCAACGAACAACCTTCAAACTTGCACAAGGCAAGATGGGACTTGGAAAACATATCCATAGCCACCGAGCCCCAATGGGGGTTTCCAGGGCCCACAGGGGGAGGTGTTCCTACAGTGTCCTTACTTTGCAGGCACTGGTGCTGCAAAGCCAGTTGTACCCTGTCTATTTACTGGGCAAACTGACCCTGTGAAGGGAGCAACCTCAGGGGCCAAGTGGAGGACAACCAAACGAAACCTAGGTGATTCTAATGGAAAGCCAGGCAGCCCTCCATCAGGCAAAAAATAACATGAAAAGAAAGGAAAATAAAACCCTAAAAGTGCACCACAACAACAGGAGGCCAGAGAGACACGGCCGCAGCTAGTATGCGAGCTGTGCAGCACCATGCGCCCCAACCAGCGACAAACACTCCCTACCTAGGGCAAAACGAAAGCACCAAGACCTAAGCCGACACCAAGGGCAAGGTCGATGCCAAGTGACAGCAACCCTCTACAGGAGTGGGAACCCGGAAGACCCAAGGAAGATAACCCTGAGACCCAAGGGAAGTACTTGCAGGGTGCCTAGGGAAGATAACCCTAAGCACATGCAGTCTGAAGTACCAGTTACTCCTGGCCAACTCCCAACACATAGCAGGTACAACCACCAGGGTAAAATCCTTACAGGATATCTCGGCCAGTGTAGATCTCGGCCAGTGTAGATCTCGGCCCCAGCCGGCTTCAGTCGACAAACTGGCATGCGTGCGGCCGTCTTGGGTAGGCCCCCCATCCCCCTCTTTCAGTTGTGAGGCGGGATTGGCGTGAATGAGCAGCGCGTCGGTTTGATGATGATTTCCTTATTACCTTGTTTTTCTTCGGGGGATTTCTTGGAATTTCTTGCAATTTTTTGCAAATTTCTTGCTAGGGAGTTTTTGCAGTTTTTGCAAGGGACTTTTTGCAATTCTTGCAAGGAAGTTCTTGCAATTTTCTACCAGTTGGTGTCTGTTTTGAGGTGCCTACCTTTCTGGGTGCCTTACCTTGGACAATGGCAGACATGAATATACTCTCAAAAGAGTGAAGTTTTCATAGGCCATTGCTCCCTGTGCCTTTATGAGGGAACCAGGTTCTGGCTTGTGGTTCCCGGTAGGCAGAACTTCATATATATAAAACCGCAGACTAATATAGCTAATATCAGTCCGATAGCTCCAGGGAGCTGACAGGGCTCCCCACAGAAATTAAGGTTGTATTGTAGTATGACAAAGATGATCAAATCCAGCAGGAGGGAATAAATACCACATAGATGATGATTGATTAATATGGTAAAAAAAATTACAATGAAAATCGGTAACAGAAAAAACACAATCTTGATTGTTCAAAGAATAGGATAATAATGAAAACTAAAAATGATTACCAGGAATAAATACCAATGCACTGAAGTTGAAGTATATACTTAATTATGTCTCTGGTTCTTTTAGCAATTTCTCCAAATAATCCCCATGAGAAATGATGTTCACTTACATGGGAACTGTGGCAGTAAATCATTCTTGCATGGAGACGGGGGGCAGCCTCTGCTAGTACGAAGCTTTTATGTTTACATTTACAGTTATGGCCAACCTACTTTCTCTACTTATGGCCATACCCCACGCCAGCCTCCAAGAGGTCAACAGTACTTGCCACTGCCACGCCCACCTGGGGCACGACCCCTACCACAGCTTCCATGGCAGGGCTCTCATCTTCCAAGGTAGGACTCGAATAATAGTTGTCCAGTAGTACTAAATTGCAATACTTTTGTTTATAACTGCATGCAGAATGCATGAAGATTGCCCCTCTTGGTCAGCTATGCACATTTCTCCAGAATGAATTGAGCAAAATCTACTATCAAGGTAATGTTTATCATTTATATTTTCTAATTTAACCAGTGTTACTCTACAAGTGTATGAACTAATATATACTGTAAGTGGGATATAATATATATATATATCACCTGCATTATGCATGGCAATAACCCATTTCTTTCAACAGCAACTTGGACAGATTCAACAATCCCTACATGCACAGCTTTGGCCGACCCCAGTCCTTACACGGGTAATTTAGACGAATTAGCAAATGTTGTATAAATGTTGGGGGTTTGTTTGAGTTGTGTATCTTTATTGTCCAGTATTGCAGGATTGTTGCTATATTTTTCCAGTATTGCAAGATTATCACTATATTTGTTGTTCAGTATTGCAGGATTATCACTGTTTGTTGTCCAGTATTGCAGGATTATCACTTTGTTGTCCAGTATTGCAGGATTATCACTATATTTGTTGTTCAGTATTGCAGGATTATCACTGTTTGTTGTCCAGTATTGCAGGATTATCACTTTGTTGTCCAGTATTGCAGGATTATCACTATATTTGTTGTTCAGTATTGCAGGATTATCACTGTTTGTTGTCCAGTATTGCAGGATTATCACTTTGTTGTCCAGTATTGCAGGATTATCACTATATTTGTTGTTCAGTATTGCAGGATTATCACTATATTTGTTGTCCAGTATTGCAGAGTTATCACAGTTTATTGTCCAGTATTGCAAGATTATCACTATACAGTATTTGTTGTCCAATATTGCAAGATTATTGCTATATTGTTGTCCAATATTAAAGATTATCAATGTATGTGTTGTCAAGTATTGCAGCTATCACAATTTGTTGTCCAGTATGGCAAGTTTGTTGCTATATTTGTCGTCCAGTATTGCAGGATTATCACTATATTTGCTGCCATGTTGTTTACTCCAGTAAGTTGTTATTTTATTGTGCAAATTTGGGACTTGGCCTTCCAGTTTTTTTCCACGTACAGAAGGCCACATGCTTTTCGAACCCTTTGGGACCGAGACTGAATGAATAACTTATTGTGACTGCATAAATAGTTCACCATCCTGAAGATCTAGGAAAACAAAATTGACAGTTTTGTTGCAGAAATTTGAGTTTTGTTACAGAAATTTGACCATATTTTGTTTGTACTCACCACTATGAGAAGTTCTGATCCGCTTGTTAATTGGAAGATTATAGTTGGCAGAGCATTGTTATTTAGATAGAGGTGGTGGTGGTGGATGATGATGATAATGTTGGGTTGGCTGAAGTGGAGATTAATGGTGATGAGGTAACCTCAGCAGACTGCCTTTCACCATGCACCCTAATGTACCTAATGCAATAGCAGTTTAACCACTTAACTGAGCCAACCGAGTATTCTCGGTCGGCAGGAAACTGCGCTAACCGAGAAAACTCTTTTTGATTTTTCGGTACCAATTCTAAATGTGTACAAGGTTGGTTGTGTACGAAATGGACTCTTAGGACCTCCAGTGAGAGGCAGCCATCTTGGAAAAAATTCCCAGAATGTCCTGGGGCTGCTGGCTGGGTTAGTACTGAGTGAGCAACCATGGGTGGCGCACGCGCCTCTGGCTCCCAAACACCTGTCCGACGCGGTGTTGAAAGATAACGCTCTGTTGGTGGAATTAAAACCTTAGTGTTTGAAGAACATAAGGGTCATAATATTGATGAAGCTAGGCGCAATAAGGACCTAACACAAAGGTCGGATGCAAGTGATACAGCACCTATGAGGACGATACAGCGAGCGTATCCAGTTGTAGCTCTGAGTGTCACGCTTGCAATCTTATGCTATCTCCAATTTATTTAGATGATACATAGATGAATCATTTTCTGCGTTCAGTGATGATGCATCTGATACAAGTAGCATAGATGAACAGTGTTAGCGGCTTCCATGGTGGTGTTTTCCATAGATATTTTCAAGACTACCTGAATCTCTTACTGACTGACAGACACTCTTTGAGGCAAGCTGAATCTCTTCCTGTGTGGGACCATACACAGCGATCTTTTCAAGACTATCTTACAAATTTATCTTTTCCTATAATCTTTTCAATACTGCCCTATGCTTTACAAGCTTGGCTACATACAACCTACAAGTACTAAAGTCAAGGGTTCATGAGTGCATTATTTCCAAGCACACAGAATGAAGAAACAAGAAGCGAAAATTTATCTGTACCTGGTGCACCGAGAGCGAAGTCGCGCGCTGTACCATGGGCTACTTCGTTGATTATTACTCACTTCCGAAGTACTGAGTGTGTAATACAGTGTGTTACTGTGTAAATAGTGTGTGAAACTGTACATATTGTAATTTTAGTGAATTTTTAACAGGTAATATTGTGACAATAAACATTTATTGTGGACACATTACTGACACATGTATCACAGTTCCATGGAACATTATGAACGTTCTACTGTATACATATTGTAAAGGACACAAATATGCATCATATATGATAAAAAAAACAAATAAAACCGCATTGGAAATACATAAAACAAATAATTGAAAATATATTTGTGGCAACACAGTGTTTGAATGGCCCGCGCGACCGTGTCTGGGTGGTTCAAGCACGGGCGACCAGGCCCTGATGACGTCACAGTGCACCTTGTCCATGTCCCCACAGCCAAAGTAAGTGGAATTTGGTATTTATTTTTACATAGACATGTTCAGGGAAGGGAATTTATCATTTTATGAAGAAAAAATAATTTTTTGGGTACACTTTATTTCATGCGCACCGGGGAATTTTACAATTCACATAGACATAGAGGTGTCTAGAGACGAAGTGGAAAAAATGCTCAAGGAGCTAAGTAAGAACAAAGCAGTTGGTCCAGATGGAGTTTCACCATGGGTTCTGAGAGAATGTGCACCTGAGCTCAGCATTCCACTTCAACTGATTTTTCAGGCATCCCTGTTTACAGGAGTTGTAGCTGATGTCTGGAAAAAAGGCTAACATAGTTCCAATCTACAAAAGTGGGAGCTTGACCACTATCTATGTGAAATGTGAACACCTGAGAGACATCAGAAGTATGTGTAGAATAATAAACCCCACATTGTTTGAGTTAGTTAAACACTATTTGTCAAATATTGATACTGTTCTTAAAAGATTTCCCCATTTTGCACCCACAAGATAACTGAAGCTTTTAAGAGTTGATAGATGTTAATCTTCTTGTTTGAGGAGCTGTTCACTTGAGACAGTTAAGCAAGTCCCAGCTGTGTCTGAGTACAAGTGACAGGATGAACAACCCAGCGGGTTTTCTTCCTATTAGGGAGTGTTGTACATGCTGCTATGGCGGTGTGTCCACTCACAAGATGAGTGGCGCTGCACAATAAACTCGCCCCTCGGGGCAAAATTTAATTTAAAGTGGAAGCAGTTAAGACCCGCTTAATTATAGACCGGTATCATTGACAAGTGTAATAATCAAAATATTGGAAAAATAATTAAAACTAAATGGGTAGAATACCTGGAGAAAAACGATATAATATCAGACAGACAGTATGGTTTTCGGTCTGGAAGATCCTGTGTAACGAACTTACTCAGTTTTTTATGATCGAGCCACAGAGATTTTACAGGAAAGAGATGGTTGGGTTGACTATGTCTATCTGGACCTAAAAAAGGCTTTCGACAGAGTTCCCCATAAGAGGTTGTTCTGGAAACTGGAACATATTGGAGGGGTGACAGGTAAGCTTCTAACATGGATGAAAAATTTCCTAAGTGACAGAAAAATGAGGGCCGTAATCAGAGGCAAGGTATCGGACTGGAGAAATGTCACAAGTGGAGTACCACAGGTTCAGTTCTTGCACCGGTAATGTTCATTGTCTACATAAATGATCTACCAGTTGGTATACAGAATTATATGAACATGTTTGCTGATGATGCTAAGATAATAGGGAAGATAAGAAACCTAGATGATTGTCATGCTCTTCAAGAAGACCTGGACAAAATAAGTATATGGAGCAACACTTGGCAAGTGGAATTTAATGTGAATAAATCCCATGTTATGGAATGTGGAATTGGAGAACATAGACCCCACACAACCTATAAATTATGTGAGAAATCTTTAAAGAATTTTGACAAAGAAAGGGATCTAGGGGTGATTCTAGATAGAAAACTGTCACCTGAGGACCACATTAAGAACATTGTGCTAGGAGCCTATGCTACACTTTCTAACTTCAGAATTGCTTTTAAATACATGGATGGAGAAATACTAAAGAAATTGTTCATGACTTTAGTTAGACCAAAGTTGGAATATGCAGCAGTTGTATGGTGCCCATATCTTAAGAAGCACATCAACAAACTGGAAAAGGTGCAACGACATGCCACTAAGTGGCCTCCAGAACTGAAGGACAAGAGCTACAAGAGCTAGGTTAGAGGCATTAAATATGTGAAAACTAGAAGATAGAAGAAAAAGAGGTGATATGATCACTACGTACAAAATAGTAACAGGAATCGATAAAATTGATAGGGAAGAATTTCTGAGACCTGGAACTTCAAGAACAAGGTCATAGATTTAAACTAACGAAACAAAGCTGCCGGAGAAATATAAGAAAAATCACTTTTGTAAACAGAGTGGTAGACGGTTGGAACAAGTTAGGTGAGAAGGTGGAGGAGGCCAAAACCGTCAGTAATTTCAAAGCGTTATATGACAGAGTGCTGGGAAGACGGGACACCACGAGCGTAGCTCTCATCCTGTAACTACACTTAGGTAATTACAATAAACTCGGCGCAGCACGGTGGTTAAAGCTTTCGAGCCATCCATTACTGCATGAGCACTGCTCAAGTGGCACTGTGTACGGTCACTGGGCAAACATGTTCCATCTTTATTGCATATATTTATTCAGACTTCCTGCCCTACCACTTAATAAAATTTTTATATTTGGACAAACCCAAAATGGATAACAGGCATATTCAGATAAGTGGCTTCCGGAAAGCATGTGGTCGTCTGTATATATTATGTGATGCCTCTTTTGTCTCCTTTCCAGAGAACACATTTTGAGAACTTTGAGACGGTCCCAATAATTTAGGTGCTTTATTGTGTGTATTTGTGCTGTACATGTTCTCTGTATTTCCTCTTCAGCAATCACCTCTACCCTGAAGGGGTGAGTATTGAACAGTACTCAAGGCAGGACAGCACCAGTGATTTAAATAATACGAGTACTGTGGGGTCCCTGGATTTGAATGTTCTCCTAAGCCATCCTATCATTTTTCTGGCTAACACAATATTTGC